GTGTGAACACCTCCACTTGATATCGATATCATCTCGCTATATTACGTGATATAGAGCGTAATGAGAACAGGGTATAAAATTACTAAAATATTGTCAATAATGAATGCAATACTTGTAGTTGATTGGCTGTGGGAACAATGGTGTTTATTTACTTTCCTCATTTGGTACCCCGCTTGACAATTCGATTGGTACTTCTGGCTTCACTCTTGGCGGGACTCTTAAGGCCGGCGCAAAATAGAAACGTTTTCAGGTTTCTTGACAGTTAGCCCATGCATTATCTGTCAAAAAATCCGAAAACGTATGCATTGTGTGCCGGTCTTTCTTATAACATAGACTCTGAGGTTGAGGTTCACACTGACAAAAAGTTCGGTTTCGCACTGGGTTGGAACTGGTGTTAACCCCGATAATAAAGAATTCGCTATAAGTATCTATAATCCATTGTGGGATTTTGTTGGTTTTTTTTTCTCCATTTTAAGCCTAGTATATAGATCGAAGCGAAACAAAAATTGAAGCACACGAAAAATCATGAAATTTCGCTAGCGAAAAAGGTTGTGAAAAAATGTTTGTGGAACATTTTCCAGTTTCCTTTTTTCGCAGTTTACAGTTCATGTGAAACGAAATCGATCAGATTACACCTCCGGTGAAGTGAAAATCTGACAGATACGCTCTTTCTCGAAACGTCAACTTTTCGCTTAGCTGCTGCTCTTTTCGCTAGCGCTCCTAGCGCTGCATGCGCGAAAAAAAATCAACGTATAAAACGCTGTCCAGACTGGAGAGCTAAGGCCCAAGCGCAATGTGGGCAGAAGCGGAACGGAAACGGAAAGTTTGGCAGTTGTCACAAATGACATCAAAAAGCCTAACCGAAGTCGATTTGGTTCTAACTAGTTTTCAATCCGACAAGTAGGCTTACTCAGATCGGGCTTTTCCGCTGCCGCTGCCGTTCCGCTTCCGCTGTCATTGCGCTTGAGCCTTTATAACATGTTATAACGGTTGTCAAATAATTGCAACACAGAAACCACCATCAAGATAGCGCTATTACATGTTATAAATCTGTAGTGAGAACGTACTATAAGCGAAAAAGATACGATCCACAAAATAAGATTTCGCTGGATCGTATCTGTTTACAGTTCAAAGCGAAGTGAACAATTTGCGAATTGTCTTTCACGCAGGTGAACATTTTTTAGTATTTTGTAGGGTAGAGCGCTACTTCATCGTAATCGCCCATTTCCGTTCTATCGATCAGAAAAGATCAATAATATCAATGATTTCACCGTGCACAAATCAATAATAGGTTTGTTCCGATGCGTTAGTTCATTAGCTACAGCATAAATCCTATTAGAGAGCATTGTATGAATTATTACGCACATTGTTCTCAAAACAAAAGAAGCACTCCTAGCGAATCCCCTTTTTCTACGTTTATCCGTAGGACGAAGGAAATCTAACCCAACAAACAATCGTCTATTGAAGAAACGGTTTCTTGACGATTTTATTCAACTGCATACTTAATAATACTTGTATTATTTTTAATAATAGCTTCTTTTCAGGCTTTGTTCACACAAATCTGGAGAATTTATTCAACCACAACATTATTGATCTACTTGGTGTTGTTTAAGGTATGTCGAGCAGCTTTTATTCGACTTATATGAGTTGTAACAGAGCTTTATTCGATAACATTTTTGATTATTCAGCGTTTTTTAGACATCACTGCTTCCTTACGCTTTATTCTCATGTGAATTAACGTTTAATTAGACATTTTTATACATTTATTAAACGATTATTCAACTGTGAGGAAATTAACTCAAGAATAACAGACCAGAGCACAGTGGAAGGAAGGGTGATTGTTTTCATTATTTCTGACGCAGCACGGTACCACACCACTCACAGAGATATTACAAATATTTTTACATACATATACATTTCGTTGCATGGGATTCGAACCATGTATCTTCCGATCACTAGTCGCTTGCCTTGCCATCTGAGCTATCCTAGAATTCATCATATGGGCAGCTCAATAATAAATAAAAGCTTGCTTGAAAGTGAATACCTATCAGCACTCCCGATCGCAACTCAAGCTCCTTCGAGGCCCTGTGAGAATGATTACACAATTAAAAACAGGGTTGAGCTTGGTATTGAACTCACGATCTTCTACTTGGAAAGCGGAAACGGTAACCACTATGCTACCAATTTCGTTTTGTTGTTAGCCTGAACCAGTGTTGTGGAATAATGAATCTAATACGTCGTTTATAAAGCATTTACAAAGCATGCGATTAAAACATGGACGCATAGTGGTATATGAGCTAATATGTTGACTGTATTCACCTTTATTCAGCAATATTATAAAGCAATGCAATGAAATCTAACAATGGAGCTAGAAAACATTTATTAGACGTCTAATAAAGCATGTTATTAAATCAATTGAAAACAGTCGACTTGAAGTATAAATGTATGTGCAAATTACACTTATTCAGTTTGTTATTAGATCAAACTTCTGGCGTTGAATTGGGAAGACAGCCAACGTTTATACAGCTTTTATTAATTAAATTAATCAGATCAGAGAAAACAGCGGAATAATGGTGCATCTATCAATCTCAATGAGGTTTTTTCAGCATATAATTCGACAACTCGTTTTATTCAGCATTGTTCACTGTAATACAGCATTTATTCAATAAATATGCTTATTTGTGACTCTGAATTGTTTGTTGGGAATGGCATTTCAATGCGTTAGGACGGAATTGAACCTCATAGGACGAATTTAGAATCAAGACGCAGTATTAGATTTTCAACAATATCTCAACAATTTGTGACTTTTTATCAAATCCAACGGTACTTATGGAAAGGTGAATAAATTTAGAAGCAATCTTTGATAGAAATATTCCATTTTTTGTTCAAACCCGTTCAAAAAAGAGAGGTAAAGCGTGGGTTGTGCTTAGTAGGACGGAAATTAGATCAAAAACCCTATGAGGTTGTCGCTTCGCTTCGAGCTCTACTATACAGGCCTTTAGTGGTGACCAGCGTTGCCAGATATACCGATTTATCGGTATTTGTACCGATTTTTAAACTTGATACCGATATACAGATAAGGCTCCCCTAATAAAAATTGTATGGTTAATTTGCTTAACGACGTGTTCTGGGTATCATCCAAACCATTTGTGGAATAGTTCAATGATTTGGGTTATCGTTCGTTTATGGTTATTTTTTATTAGGGTCATCAGGATACCGATTTTTTAGATTATATACCGATTTATACCGATTTTTAATAATCACAATTATTAATGTCTGCCTACGCTCAAATGTCAGAAAAAAACTTCTTCAGGCAAAAATATGCTGCTTGATACTCTTTCGATTATATTTCCATTTCCTCGCCGTGTTTGGCTACCCATAAATCGAGAAAAAGCTAATAGCTCATCTTGATCTCGATTCCTGGGAATCGGGAAATACTTTTGTCTTTTATGTCAGCAAAAAAGTCCATCAGAATGTTATTTTTTAAACTTTCTGGAGTTTATTTAATCTATCCTTAGGGCCTGTTCATAAACTACGTAGACAGTTTTTTGGGATTCTTGACCCCCCCCCCGCAGGGGGAGGCCCTGCGTAGACAGTTGTCCATACAAAAAATTTAAAATTTGTATGGGCCGTGGATAATTGTCAACAACCCCCCCCCCCCCTAAACCGTCTACGTAGTTTATGGACAGCCCCTTAGAAGTTTCTCAAAACTTTCCCTTGGAATTTTCTTCAACCTTAGTCCGTAAGTTATTTTCCAATTCCTCTCGGTAAATTATTTCGATTTTCCTCGGGAGTTTCATCTGGCTTTGCTTGAAAGGTTCTTCCGTCTACTCCCGCTAGTTTTTTTTTTCAATTTCCCTCGGAATATTCTGCTAACTTTCTCTAGAAGATTCTACCGATTTTCACCGGAAATTTATTTCGACATTTCCCAAAAATCTCTTTCTACCGGAATTTGCTTCCAAACTTCTCTTGGAAGTTTCTTTAGACTGTTCCGAAAACCTTCTAGCTTTCGCCGGAAGATGCTTTCGACTATCCTCAGAAGTTTCTTTTTGACTACCTCAAGAAGTTTTTTTTCCAGCGTCTCCAGGAAGTATCATCTCCAAAAGATTTTTGTGTGTTCCGTTTCTCGATAAGCTTCTTTCGGAGGTTTGTCCGACTTCTATTGGAAGGTTTTCCAAGTTTCTTCTAGCTGTCACTCCTGGCATTTTCTTCCGATTTCCAAAACTTTTCTGGCTTCTCTGGATATGTCACCCATTTTTTCCGAAAATGTTTCCCTAAAAGTTTCTCATTATTTGTCTAGGAGGTTCCCGGATATTTTTTCAACTTATCTTAGAAGTATCCTTAAAATTCCTCCAGCAGAGCTTTTTTCTTTCTCTGGACGTTTTTTCGGCTTCCTTCAGAAGGTAATTCGAATATTCCCCGACTTTCCTGGAAAGGTCGATCGTAAATAGTGATATGACTCTAAAATTTGATAAGCTAAAAAACAGTCTAAGCCACTCCAATACGAAATATCTTTACAAAGTGTATGCATCCTTCACAAACGTCCACTAGCTTTTGCATGATCTTGAAAAGACTTATGAGCGATCGTGAGGGATGCGTATGCTTAGAAAATGGATATTTCATCTTGGATTGGGTAGGCCTGGTTTTTTAGCCTCGAAAATCTTAAAGTCATACCCCTAACTTCTAAGTCTTCGAAAAAGGAAAAAATATAAAATTTATTAGAAGAGTAAATACCGATAAATACCGATTTTTTTAACCTTTGATACTTGAAAACAATCTGGCAACGCTGGTGGTGACATCTCTGCAGTAAAAATGTACATTTCCCAACTTTGAAGTTAAGCGCAACAGCCATTTCCCCTCCGATTGTTCTACGTTTCATGTGTTATTGCTAAATATCTCACTTTTAATAGTGCGCGTATGAAGCGAGGCTTGAAATGCATCTGCATGCGAGTCGTGCGTTGTAATATACCTGATATGTTGTATGTATATTGAACGTAAACATCGTGGTTTGACATTTATGTCATGCTTTTGAAAAGTTGTGAAGTAATCCACAATCAAAAGGAAAAAAACTTTTTTTGCGAGAATATCATCAGTAAATCAAAATTTAGTAACAATTTGTATGTGCATGAGTTAAACTATATGCCGAATGGATGTCGAAAGCGGTAAAAATATCCGAAAATGAAAGAAAATGGGAACAATTGCATCAGTGCTACAATGGACCTGTGCCAATTGCAATTTAATCAACCCGACGGAAAGCACCCTTTGTCTTAATTGCAAAAAACCTCGACATCTAGACATCGGAACCAAAAAGGAACACCACCAGAGTGTCGCAAGCAGTAAACTAAACGATATACACAGGTAATTAGAGTCGTGAAATCAAATGATCGATAATATTACCGATTCAACAACCAGAGATAAAAAATACGGTAACCAATCGATTTTTCATACCAACATATACATTCCTACTGCCAAGCACAGTTGCCATTATGCACAGCATCATTACTAGGATGAGGTGTTTAAGCATTATGAAGTGCTGAAAATTCATTAAGTAAATTGTTGATAAAAATGTTATGGCATTCATCCATAATAACGACGTTATTTCCATTATCAATATGCTGGACTAGTGGCGTTGTCTCGAATGGACTGAAAATCGACCCTCCACCGAACAAGTTTATGATTCAGATAAAAAATACCTATATTGAATTTATTTTGAATTTTTTAGAGTTTAAGTGGTTTTAGTTTAATTAAAAAAACGAAAGAAATCTAATTTATATCGCAAAAACAAAAACGCTGAAATTTCAATATATTTTAAAGACAACAAAAATAATGCTTACGGTGCAATTACAAACAATCCTTTATCCGAGCCTTTATCAAAGTATAGGGTACAGTGGGGCATGTGTGCCACCCCGATTGTGCTTTCATTTGAAATAAATACGAGTGTGTACACCGAATTGCAAGTTTATATCATTGCTATCGTATATCAGCAATGCAATACAAATTAAATCAGATCAAAAGATGTTTTAGATTTAATGTGGCAAAACGGCCAAACGTCTTAAAATTTGTGAAACCGATTAATACTTGTGAAAAAAACATAGCAACATTGTTGATACCAATTTATGTAGGGGAGAACAGTACATAACGCACCCCCGGGGTAAGACGCACTTTTTATTTTGAGTTTTGGAATTTTTAATCCAATTCTAGGATTTATCATGCAGGATTTTGAGTTCAGATGCTATGCTAGAAGTGCTGCTTGATAAGACAACAAAAAAGTTACGTAAAAGCCATGAAAAACACAAACGAAAGTCAGCTGGTGCGTTCTGCCCAGGGGGTGCGTTGTATACCATTCTCCCCTAGTTTGTTTTGCCAAATTCGATGAAGACAAAGCACACTGAAATCTAAAATGCAAAATGAAGCAATTCGTCGGCATTTTTGAGTAATTTTATTCATTAATGTACACGCTATTTCAAAACTACCCAAATTTGGGTAGAATCCACCCAGATCGGTCAAAACTGAACCTACCCAAAAATTGGTAAACTGTGTTGGGAGTTACAAGTTGACAAATGAACAACATCGACATAAATCCGATCAACGTTGTTCATTTGTCACTCCCAACACAGTTTACCCATTTTTGGGTAGGTTCAGTTTTGACCGATCAGGGTGGATTCTACCCAAATTAGGGTAGTTTTGAAATAGCGTGTACGGGTTGCACCAAGATTGCTAAGCGGTCATTTTTCCTGTCCCATATGAGGATTATTTTTAAGAAGATGATTTTTGACCAGTTAAAGAAAATATCTACCAATTATTCATTTTTATTAATGTTTCAATCAATCGTTAATAGGGAGCTGCACCGTCGGGTTAAACTCACTTTTTTGACATCTGGCAGTGGTTTGTTTCCATGGATAGTTGTTTTCTCCATACTAATAAATTTATTAAATATGTATTTAGATTAGATCATAGTCGGATATCATATCTTTTAATTATTTTTTTATTTAAAACCTCAAATTCATTTGAAACGACTAACAAGCAAAGGTAAACAAACCACCACTGGATGTCAAACTGATGAATGCGGGTTCATCGCGTTCATTCGTGACGTCAGCGTGCAGCATCCTACACGCTCGCTCAAATTAACTCTAAAGTGAGTAAAATTCCACTCACTTTCGTTAAAAGTGGAACTACTCTAAAGTGAGTAACCCCATGTTTACTCACTTTTGAGTAATGTATGAATTTGTCAAAATTTGAGTAGCACTTACTCAGTTTGGGTTTTCGCAATATTAGCACAACTGAGTAAAGGTTACTCAGTTTTGTAAATATTATATTTTGACAGGAAATTATTTGATCGAATCTTTTTTGAAGCATAATAAAATCAATTTATTTTATCACAACAGAATTATTTAAAAAAATTAATTTCATAAACTCTAATGAACAAATTGATAATAATTCTGCTTACTAAGCGATTTCCAAGACCACTGCAGCTATCATCTGACAATACCAGGTGCTATTTTCATTCCGGGAAGTAACCAGGGATGTAACCATAGGCGTAGCCAGATAGGGGCAGGGGGGGGGGGGCGACTGCCCCCCCCTAAACTCGGCAACACAAAGGCTTTCGAGGAAATGGCGTTCGGTGAAATGGCATTCGGCCAAATTTTCCATGGTAATTTTTTTTTTCGCCCCTCCCTAGCTCGAAACCTGGCTACGCCCTTGGATGTAACACATTAAACATCTCGAAATGGACTGAGCAGCTTTCTGGCACAACTTACGGATCAGTTTCTCAGTATTTTTTTTTTCTAAAAAATAATTTCTTTATGAATATATTGTTATTTTCCGATTTTCTCATAAAGCTTACTTGCAATACCCTCACAGTGAACATTCCTTTGGATCGAGCTTGGGATTCTGAAGTTCACAACCAAAAGTTGTTGCAGAAGTTCAGAAAAACGTAACCTGTGCAAATTTGGGCTGAAATAAAGTTTATCTAAGGAAAAACACCAACTGCTACTCACGCTAGTTAGTCCAGAAAAGTTTCACAGAACGCTGAAACTTTCACTCTTTGAACGCTTTGTGGGAATTTCTCTGGGAATTTGCTTTCAGCCCAGGACTTCAAAATTTTCGGACGTTTATCACATTTGTTCTTACTCAAAACAGTAAAGATCCATATTTATTTAATTAGAGTAAATGTTACTCACTTTGTTACATTCATGTTACTCTGTTTTGGACATTTAGCATGCAAATACGAAACTGAGTCAAAGTTACTCACTCTAGAGTAAAATCAGACGAGCGTGTATAGTGATTCCTCAATACATGAATAATTGTAAGAAAAATATATTATTTTTATGAGTAACTAGCTGAGTGTGCCCGTCCTTGCTCGGGATTCAATATTAACTTGAGTTTATGAGCCAATTTAAAAAAAAAGCATGCTATATTGAAGGAAGCCCCCCCCCCCCTCATATCTAAGGGGGTTACCCCCTAAAACCTCCACATGCCAAATTTGGTTCCATTTGCTTGATTAGTTCTCGAGTTATGCAGAGATTTCGTTTCATATGTATGGGAGACCCCCCCCCCCCCCCCAGGGTGTATGGGAGGGTCTCGAACCATCATAAGAAACTTTCCCTACCCCAAAAACCCCTGCATACAAATTTTCACGGCGATCACGATCAGTTCAGTAGTTTCCGAGTTTATAAGGGTCAGACCGCAGTACAAAGAACCGGTGCGTTGAAGTTAAAATGCTATCAAAAGCATTTAAAGTAATTAAAGTAGTAGTACTGACGGTAATTAAAATTATTTATCCGTTCTTTATGCTTCTTCTTCTTATTCTTCTTCTTCTTCTTATTTCAATTGCATATCGCATATTAGCTTATTGCGTGCTCTCAACTTAGTGTTCTAGATACACTTCCACAGCTATTAATTGAGAGCTTTCGATGCCTGTACCATTTCTGCATTACTAGATGAACATTTCAAGAGGTCCTATCTGCATTGACCAATTCTCTTCATCGACTTTCTCTTTTGTTAATAACACAGCTGCAAAAACATTCCCTGTTGTGTTTGACGTTTTGGATGCTCAATAAGAACCTTCTTTATCAAACTAATTGGCAATAATAGCACGAAATCAGTATGCATAGCCATGGTTATCAAAAGAGAAAGTCGACGAAGAGAATCGATCAAAGCAGATAGGACCTTTTGAAATGTTTATCTATTAGTATAATTGTGTGTCAAGTACAGTCATTCTCTATGCGCAATCGAACCCAGCCACCTCCAGCATGGTCTTGCTTTGTAGCTGCGCGTTTACCGACTGAGCTAAGGGAGGCCCCTATCCGTAATGAATGTAATTAAAAGTATTGAAGATGTAATTATGGTCCTTTAATTACGAAATTTCAACTGTAATTAATGGAGTTAAAAAGTAGTTAATGTATTTTTTTTTCTTTGGTTTATTTTTTCCGTCGTTCTTGTTTTCCGTGCTGAGCACCAATGCTACCGACGTGCCAGAAAGGCAGCTCCCACACCTGGACCCTACCTATCGACCCATCAACTCATGAACCGGGGACCAACGGCTTTACTTCCCATCCGAAGGAAGGCGTGATCAGAGATGTTATGCCTCAGAACATCCCGGCGGCGCCGACTGGGATTGAACCCAGGCCTGCTGGGGTGAGAGGTAATCACGCTTACCACTACACCACCGGCGCCGTTAAGTAGTTAATGTAGTAGTGTAATTAATGTAATTAAAGTAGTAGTTAGTGAAATTAATTTAATTACAGCCGTTGCCTGTGTTGTAGTTAAAGGTTATTGCGAAATTCATTTTTATATATGAGGAAATGGCTCTAATGTTGGCCTATGGATCTAATATTGGGCACATCGCTAAAAATCTGCTATTTATCAATTTTGTCTAGATGAACGCGTCACGCGTCATGGGGAAGTTACTAATGGATATTTTTGGCCGCTATTGAAAATTTAGTCGATGCTTAATTTATGTATGGGCCCAAATTAGGGGCATTCAGGCCGACATTCCCCCTATATAGATTGTTTTCGCTTCGAAAATCTTTATTTTTTGTAAAAAGATGAAATCTAAATTATTTTTTAGAATAACTTTTTTCCCGTATGACCGTGCTGTCAGCAGTAGTGAGATTAAAACTGACAACATTCAGACAAGCAACAGTTTAATTAGTGCAACTCCGTAGTGCATCGCAAAGCCAAATTTAATTCTGATGGCCAGTGTTGGCAAAATCAGAAATCAATTGATATTTTTCCGCTCTCATGCGCTCGCAATATCACGCGTGATATTGGAACAAAATATCATGCTTGATATTGATTTTACCAGCTCCTTTGATATTGCGAGACTATTCACAACGTGCAAAAATCAAGCTGAGAGT